TAGGTATATCGTAGGTGCTTCTCCATTATGTAGTTTGCTGAGCTGTGCGAGTTTTTTGCAATCCAGATCTTAGGTATATCGTAGGTTTAATAAGGTTTTATTTTTATTTGGAATTTAGTTTTATTGGAATTTGTTTGTGTGCTTATGTCTAACAATATAGATATTGGCAGTATTCTCGTGTAATTTTTGTTAATAAGGAATGTTTAGGGTTATTGTGTGGTGATTATGATATTTATATGATTTAGGGTTGTGTTGTGCTGTGTAGAGACTTGTTTGCTGCGGCTTTAAGGTTTTACCGTTGTGTTATTATGGTGTTATTGTCTTTTCGGTATTATCTTAGCAGTATTCCGGTGTTATTTTTTTAACGAAGGATGTTAGTGTTATTATGGGGTTATTGCTGTATTGTTATGGTTTTATTGTTGTGTTATTGTACTATTGAAGAGAGTTTTATTATCGTGTGATTATGGTGTCACTGTCCTTCCTATTGGTGTTATTGTGGGGTAATGATTTATAGTGTTAACTGGTATTAATCATTGCGGTATTCTCGTGTTATTTTTATTAACGATTGATGTTGGTGTTATTGTTGAGTTATTGTGGTATTATTATGGTTGTATTATTGTGTTATTGTATCGTTTAAGAGAGTATTATTGCTGCGGATTTATGGGTTTATTATCGTGTGATTATGGTGTTATTGTCTTTGCTGTTTTAGTAGACGCACTTATCTTACTATTGGCTTATTTGTTTTTCTATAACTTAAATCATTCAATGCAGGAAAGGAGGAAGATGGGCGAACAAGCAAAGTACTGTTCGTTGAGATGGAGAAATGTTGATGGAAAGTTTCCTGATTTCTCGGAGGCAATGAGATGGAGTTATTTTGTGATTCATATAATCTTGATCGATAAACAGTAGAAAAATCAGTCGCATCAATGATCAAAAGTTGATGGAGAGGAAGTTTTAGGCTCTTCGCACATCTAAAGTTGATTGAGTTATATAATCTGATGTCAACGCTGAAGATGTGATTTGAATCAAGTAAGTCGTAATGGGTTTGTTAAATTGTGGGAACAGAAGAAAATGTAATTGTCAGTTTTGATGTTCTGGACTTCTCAAGTCTAATGTGAATGGTGTTCCGTCGGGTTTTACCAGTTGGAACACCATTCACATGAGACTTAAGAAGTGCAGAACAACATAACTTGCAATAACATTTTATTCTGTTTCCACATTTTAGCTAACCCATTACGAATTACTTGATACATATCACATCATCACCATTGTCATAAGATTATATAACTCGGTCAATTTTAGATGTGCGAAGAGTCTGAAACTTCCTCTCAATCAACCTTTGACCATAGATTGGAATGATTTTTCGACTG